GCAGAACTCAGGAAAGAGCTAGAACTGGGAACTGGAAGGCTGTCAGCATCCCCGGGAGTTTCCGCTCTTCCTCATCACTGGCCTCTGTCCAGATTTCCTCTGCCCCTCTCCTCAGCCCATGTGACAAGTGGAAGAATGTGACCCCGCCTGGCCCATACTACATATCCCAGGTTCCTCTAAAAGACTGACTTGACCCTGTTGGGGAGATGTTACACGCCCAAATCACCAAGGGAAAGCATCTGATTGGTCTGTTTTAACTACAAGATTCTCCTTGGTGCAAGCAGCTATGATGAAGTGAGGGCAGACATATATATATGAGGCAGCAGGGGCCTACCCCTTTGACTTGTGGATAGAGGGGAGATAATTTCCAAAGATGGGAAATTCTTGGGAGTTGGAAAGTCACCCCCTACCCACACACACACACAAGTATCTAGAAGTCTGCTCAAAAGGTCAGACCCTGTGCCACTCTCAGTGACGTGGGTTGACCACTTTTTCCATTTTTCAGTGAGGCACTTGTAGAGGGGTGAGCCCTGGCTCTTTGAGCCCTGCCCTGACCATCAGCACCCCACACTCTGGCCCCATTCCTTGTTTCCCAGATCCTTCTGTCCCTCTTGGCACCCTTCTTAGGGTCTGCTGGCTTCCTTGCCAAGGGCAAAGGAGCTCCTTGAAGGTGACATCAAACAGGTCTGTGTGTGAGCCCATGTGGGATTCTTTGCACTGTGAGCCATCTTTGCACTTCTAAGTCTTGGAACACTCATCTGAAAAAAGGCCGACCCTGTCTCCTCCCTGATTAGCCAGTGTCCAGAGTGTCTGTCTCTGGGGGACTCTCCAGCCGGCTTGTGGTGCGCGTGCCCGTCGGCTGCTCTGGCCCTCTCTTCCTCTTTCTCCCCCTTCACCTGAGTGGAGGAGACCCGGGCTCCAGGTCCCGCCCTCTGTCCTTTCCTACCCCATTCATGCACTGTGTGCCCTTCTCCTCAAACAGCAGACACCCTATGCTGGAGCCCATGTGGAGGAAGTGATATTAATCTAGCAATTATTGATTCAAGAGGAAGTTGGAAGGTATATTTACATAAAAACCATGAGTGAGTGGAACTTCTGCTGTGGGAATGAGGCCCTTGAAGGCCTGGGTCCGGGGAAGGGGAGGAGGCTCCGGATGTGCTCCTAATTCAGGCCCCAGAGCCCAGGGAGGCCTGGGGGCTGTGCGGATGGTTCAGACCTGGGGTGGGGAGGCAGGGCAGCCTGGGAAGGGAGCAGGGAACAGGAGGTGGGTTGGGGAGAATGAGGGGGGGCAGCTGTCCTAACACCTTAGATGTCCTGAGAAGCGGAGAGAGGAAAAGCCCAGCGAAGTTATAAAAGATGATGTTTTCATATGCATTGAATATCACGAATTAGGTGCTGTAACCCCAAGAAAACAGATGGCACAAATTGAGAAATGGAGGGCAGTTTGATACAGGAACTATTTACAAAGCTGTGGGAAGGGACTTGGGAACCACATGGACGGGCTCACTGTGGGTACCCTGGGGCCCGTAAGGAGGGGGCGGTACCCCTGGCCATGAGGGAGGAGGGAAGGAGGGATTGATTGCTGAAACCTGGAGGCAGAGAAGCTTGGACAGAAGCTCACTCTGCTGCCTCCACCCTCCCGCCCTCTCTTTTCCCATTTCCTGCCAGTGCCCTCCCCCCACCATTGGCCAAACAGAGGGAAAGGGTCCCTGGATGCAGCTCATGCACAAGCTGGAAGGAAGAGAGAAAGTAGAGGAACAGAGGGAAGGCATCGGGCACAAGTGTCAAGGAGCAAAAGGAAATCCGCCCCCCCCGTCCCTCCCCCTATCTAGGGCATCAGAATAGTTCTCATTAATGGACGTGCACTGTCTGCCAGGCTCTGTTCCAGGCCTTTTAAAGATAGAAATTCCTTTAAGACTTACATCTGCTGAGGGAGCTGATTTTGCTATCCTCACTCCCAATTTGGGGAAATTAAGTCAAGGAGAAGTTAAGTATTTTCCCCAGAGTCATACAGTGGGTAAGAAGAGCTGGGATTTGACCCCAGATTGACTGGCTCCAGAGGGCTGGCCCGGACCTTGGATTCTCCACTCCAGGAGGCCAGGAATCAGTGTCTCGGAGAAAGGAGATGCCAGGGACAGGACAGCAGTGCCAACCCCAGGCAGCAGGAAGGATGCAGGTTGGCATGAGGAGTAACTCAGTGAGTGACAGTGTGAAAAATCACTCCAGGGAGTAAATTCAGGCCAAACCCCCTTCCAGAGGGTCTCTGCTAAGAGGGATGGCCAGACTTTCAGATGGAGGAATCAAAGAAGTGCTCTAGGAACTATCGCCCTGCAGGTGCAGGATCGGCAGAGTAAGGGAGAAGGGGGCTCTGCTGGGCACACACACTGTGTGGTCAGGGGGGTATTTCCTTGAGCCTTACGGCAATGCCAGGAGAGGAGTTACTGCATTTCACACACATGCGAGAAATCTTAGGCCTGGAAGAAAACTAACCTACTGTGATTAATCCAGACCTGCGGTAAGGCAGTAGCAGTAGGAAGGGAAGAGAGAAAAGGGGTTAGGAACAAATGGTCTTAGACAGGGATGGAGCCCCAGGGGGCCTCTAGTCCTCGTGAAGGCCGGTGGGATCACCTTTGGGCTCACTCGCCTGGCGGCTCAGGCCTGCACCCCCAGTGGAGGTGATTCTGATAGGCTCCTCCACCCCATGCCCAGGAAACTCCCCGAGCTAGTCCAACCTTCCATTTCACAGAGGAGGAGAGGGACACCGAGGAGGTCACTCAGAGAACCGGAAGGGATGTGAGAAGGACAGAGCTCGGTGTCACCGAGGACAAGGACGGGCCTCTGAAAGGGAGGTGGGGCCAATTCGAGGGTGTGGTCAGGCCACTGTGGGAACTGCTGGGCTATTCCATGTTAGAAGTTTTAGGGAACCAAAACTAGTTTTTAAAAAAAGTTTTAAAAATGTTTATGGACTAAGTAATACTAAACATATTTACTATCCAAAAATGAAAATAATATTAAAAGGTATATATTGAGAAGCCTAGATTTTGCTACTTTTATATGTAATTTTTTTTTGTTTAGTTTGGTTTCTTTTTCCAGTGTGTGTGTTAATGCTAAGATAAATAATATAAATATATATTCTTATCTGTACCCTCTTTTTTACCCAAAAGACAACATGCTATTACACTGTTGTACACCTTGCTTTTTTCACTTAGTATCCCTGGAGATTTCTCCATATCAAAACCTAGAGAAAATCTTGATTTTTTTCTAAAGCCATGCAGTATTCCATTACAAAGATGTACCATAGCTTATTTAAGCAGTCTCTGGTTGCTAGATATTTGGTTGTTTCTATCTTCTCCTATTTCAAAGATTGCCACAGGAATACTCTTGTGCATCCAGCGACTTTGCATATGGGCAGGTACCTCTGTAGTGTATTTTGTTTCTCAATTATCCGTGATGAAGGAACAGGTTTTACTTTTCAACTTACAGTCTGTCGCAGGTGGATGATTATGTAAAATTTAATAAAAGTGAATCCCTAGAGAAGTGAATTGAAAAAACACAACTGCAAAATGCAAGCCCAAATATTTTGTTATTAGATCCAATAGACACAAAAATTACGCTGTCAAATTACTATAAAGGTTTTTAAACACTCTCAGATGTCTGCATTTATCTTGCCACAGAGTCATCGCAGTTTGCAGATCAACACAGGTCCATGGACCGTGCTTTGACTGGCACTGGCCTAGGCTCCCAGAAATTAGGTCAAAGGGTAAATGCCTCTGTCATTTTACCAGATATCTCAGATTCCCCTCCATGGGTTGATGGGTTGTGCCATTTTGCACCCCCACCAGCAGTATGTGAGAGTGCCTCCTTTCCCACAGCGTGTTGTCTAACTTGGATTTTTGCTAAACTGACAGGTGAGCAGAAGTGTCTCAGTCTAAGTTTTAATTTGCATTTTTTATTATGAGTGAGTATAAGTATCATTTATATTTTTAAGCCTGGTTTGCAATTGTATTCCTTTTCCACTGGATTGTTGATTTCTTTTTCCTTGATTCCCCGGAGTTATTTACATAGTAGAAATATTAGTCTCTTGTCTGTGATATGAATTGCAAATATTTTTTAAAGATTTTATTTATTTATTTTTAGAGAGAAGGGAAGGGAGGGAGATAGAGGAGAGAAACATCAACGTGTGTTTGCCTTTCATGCACCCCCAACTGGGGACCCAGCCCACAACCCAGGCATGTGCCCTGACTGGGAATTGAACTGGCGACCCTCTGGTTCGCAGGCTGGAGCTCAATCCACTGAGCCACACCAGCCAGGACTCAAATTTTTTTTTTTTCCATTTTGTTATTTGCCTTTCAACTTTGCTTGATGTTGTTTTCTCTTTTTTGCAGGGGGCGGGGGTGTTGGGGAGTGTCATGCAGAAGTTCATGATTTTTATGTAGTTAAATCTGTCAATCTTTTTTTTAATAGCTTCTGGAATTTGAATCATGGTTCTCCACTCCAAGGTTATAAAGATTACTGCCCACATTTTCTTCTAGTACTTTGTTGGTTTTATTTTTAGCATTTAGTCTTTTATCCAGTTGGAATTTTTCCTAATATAAGGTGTGAGTTATAGATCCAAATTTATCTTCTTACAACTGGCTATTCATTTGTCCTAGCTCCATTTATTAAAATCCCTAATATATCACCTTTGTCATTCAAAAGAATTTTAAGCCATTTGGGACCATAATAGAAAAAGCTCTACAACTTGCCAGTTTTGTGTAGAATACCATTCCAAGGGAAATTAGCTTTCAAGATATGATCTATAACTTTGCATTACTGGGACAGAATAAACTTTAACTAACATAAATAAAGTATAAATTTATTTAAACAAACAGAAAACAAACCTGGGGCCACCGACAACCAGGAGGAGCTTGGGAGAAATGGGCATTGCCAATGGAGCCCCTGGTGAGATTGATTGTTTGCATTGCAGGTCTTCCCCCAGCCTGCCTCTGGGCGCTGGGACCCCAGAGGGGCCCACCATGGTGCTCCTGGGACGCCTGGCCGCCACTCTGTTGCCGCCCAGCCTCACACTGCTGGTGTTCCACCTCTCCAGCTTCCAGGATGTCGCCAGTGATCCCAGCAGTGAGCAGCAGCTGTGCGCCCTACAGGAACACCCCACCGTGGCCTTTGCAGGTGAGAGCCCCTTCCCACTCAGTTCTTTTTGCAGTGACCATGTCCTGAAAGACTTAGGTCCAACCTCAGCAGTGTCCCTCTGGCTGCTGGAAGTCTTGGGACGATCATTTTTTGTAGGACATGATTTTAATCTCCAGGCAATTTATTCAGGCCCTTCACTCCTGTTTACCTGGGGAGGAGGGACCTTTCTCTGGGATTTCTTCACCAGAGAATGAGAGAATGAGGTGTGGACATTCTGGGCGGGCTGGCTGAGAGCTGGCTGGTGAGCTCAGCTCTAGTTCTTCTGGAAGCATGAGCTCTACATCTTGGCTTCCTTCGGGGGAGGAATAAAGACAACTTCGCTCATGACCTCTGCGAAGCTTCCTTGTACTCTAAGGCAGCTGAAGGGATGCCCAAATTTGGGGTCCTGGGAACCCCCAGAGAAAGGGGCCCTGAGGACCAACAACCCCTTCCATCTGTCAAGGGAGGGCATGAAAATGTCTAATTAAAGTGTTTGTGTCCAGCTGAAGTTTGTGAATTGCTGGACATACTCTGAGGTGTCCGTCAGTTCTCAATGAGAGTTTCTAAAATTTGGCCCTGGCCAGTGTGGCTCAGTCGGTTGGAGTGCCGTCCCATACACCAAAAGAGTTTCTAAAATTCATGTATACATTTGATGATATTCTAAAAACAAAGCAAAACACAAAAACTTGGGCTTTTTGGATGTTCTCCCATGCTCTGTGAGCCAGTGTGAGGTCCCTGGTGGTATTTCACTCACATTGACACTTCGGATCCATTGCCTCGTGGAAGCTCACACTGATGTAGTCTCAGGGGTCCCCAGGTCCTTAAATCTGATAAACACCTGTCCTATTTCCCCTTCACGGTGACCCTGGCAGAGAGGCAGGGCAAGTCCATCACCTCCTTTTACCAGTGGGGGGTTGAGGTGCAGAAGGTTGGAGAGTCTTGTCAGAGCTTCCTGACTCAGACCCCATGTTCCACGCAGCCTGTCAAGATGGGCAAGATGGAAGCCAGAGTGGAAAAGTAAATCCATGAGTCTGAGGCTACATGGCATTTGTGGGGGTGGGGGGCCTGTATGAATAGGAGCTGGGGCTGTGAGGTGGGAGACTGGGGGCATTTAGAAGTGCGGGATTCCCAGCTGTGGGCTGCTCCTATCTGCTGTGCCAGCCTTTGAAGGCTTAAGTGGATTACAGTAAATTAACAATGTCTTTAAGCCTACCAAACAAGCGCGCACACCCTCAGACTTCCGATGGCTCCTGACGTGCTGCTGATGGCTGTCACTGAGAGGAAGGACCAAGTAGAGGACAGAAGGAGCTGGATTCTGAGTGCTGAGGGCTGTCCTCACATTGGGGGGCCCCTGTGGCAGCTCCTAATGAAACATTTCCTGTCAGGGGCTTCAACGGGGGCTCCAGTGGCCTGGCTGATTCGGGGAGCAGGACAACGAAATGGGACAGCAGGGGAGTCCCTGCCCTCCAGCCAGGCTGGTCTGTATTAGAGCAAATGGGTGGGGGTGGGGATGGCAGCGATGGGGGTGATGTGTTCCTCCAGTGCCCCGCTTCCTTGACACCATTTTTGATCTTCATGTGTAAATGACTTGACTTGCCACCTCACCCCTTTCAGAATGAAGGAATGAGGCTCAGGTTGACATAGGTGACAGAGTCGCTATGGAATTCCCTTCTATCTGGGCAAGAGGAGATGGTCTGTCATCTTAGACTGACAGTCCTGGAGAGCAGCTCTCCTCCCCAGCCCTCCTGGCCTACACCAGTCCACCTTCTTCCCCATTCTGACAGCTCTGGGTTTTCCTCTCCAGTCACTAAACTTTTATTGGATCCTGCTCGACTCCAGGCACAGAGCTGGACACTGTGGGGCCTCAGAGGTGAACAAGAGTTTTTGAGGGTTTTTGTTTTTTCTTTGAGTACTCAAGTGTCTCATTGTTTCTTAAATGTCGCTCCCTTGGCTCGCCAGTGCAGTTGGTCCTGGACCAGGACTAGTCAGTCCTGTTGACTCCCCACATCCTTTTGCATGGCTGAGTGCACACCAGGGACTCATTCCACGTTGCATGATTGATTGTCTTCCGAGTGACACTGTGTTCTAGAGAAGTTGCCATAATCCAGCCCAGCACCAACCCCCAGCTTCCAGGATCCCTTCTTATGTTATACTTTATTTCTGACCGATCTGTAGGTGTCTGACCCTGTAGTTAAGAGTTGCCTTCTCTCCTGACACCTGACTGAACTGTGAATGACCCCTAAATGCCCTGGAGAAGCTGCCAGTTGCAGAACCTGACATTTTCCTGTTTCATAAGGTTAAATTTTCTGCTCTGGGTCTCTTTTAAGGGGACCCACCTGTGTCTTCCTTTGGCCTGCACATTAGTCGTTTTGCCACAGCGTGGCCTTTCTAGGCAGCAGGGAGCAGCCAATATGGAGTTAACACTGGCAGTGGTTAATCCACAAAGTGGGTAATTGAATTGACTATACATAATTAAAATCACAGGCGCGTCATGGAGAATGTCATTTTTCTCTTAAAGACACCGTCCAAAGCCTTCGGTGCACATGGAGCTCAAGAACGTGCTTGGTGTTTTAAAGACAGCCTTCCCTCTGGTCCTCCTTGGCTGTTTAATCAGAGGAAACTGGCTGCCTTCCCAAGAAGGCTCCCACAGGATCACTGGGCTGCACATCTCTCCCTTCTTTCCCTCCCCCTTTTGCCCATGTTGCTCTCTTCTGGGTTAGGGGAAAGGGACTAGAAAGAAACTAGAAGGTGCCTCCACCTTCAACTCCCCTGACCTGCCACGTCCTCATTGTCATCCTGGCTCCTGCCTTTTTTCCCCTCCCTCTTCCCTCCTGCCCAAGGACCGGCCTGAGCAAAGAGAGCTGAGAAGTGCCCAGATGGAGTTTCTACTGCTTTGCGGCAGAACAGTCATGCCACCTCTTCCCCTGTTTGGCTGCCCACAACCAGGATACCTTGTCAAAAGGGAAGAGATAATTAAAGTGGACCCCAGTTGCTCCTATTGGAAAGCACCTGGTCTGATGGAGACAGGCAAGCCCTTCACATACTTCCCCCCAGAGAAAACATACTTGAGCACATTCAGAGTGACAGTAGCATGCAATGTGAATGGAATCAAGAGGGTAGAGAGAACGTAGAACAAAATAAGATTGGTTGGAGAGGTAATAATCCAGGAAAGCTTCCTGGAGGAAGAGGACCCTTTGTCTCTTCTGAGAGTGTCCCTGAGGTCAGCTAAAAGCCCAGCATGCCTGATTCCAGATCTACTCCTTATACTGATACTGCACAAATGTCATTGCAACTATGTGACATTTGCTGCCAACCCATAGTCATCTGCTGAGGCCAGAGGCAAACACAAGGAATTAACTTCGTTTTGTTGTAGAATTTATTTTTTTTCTTCTCCTTTTTTTAAATTCTGCATATTATAGTTTTCTGAAAAACATCCAACTCGCAAAATCTCCAGTTCTCCAGTGAGCGATTAAGTGTTCGCCTGTCACGCAGAAATGAAGCGCTGCTTTTAGTCTGTAGTGGAGGAATAATGAGCAATGATTTATTTCCCTTGGATTACACACACACATACACACTCCTTTGGGCCTCCTTTGGGCCTCCTATGAGCCAGTCGCTAATGCACTGTGGGGAGAAAGCACAGGGCCTCACATCCCCCCCTCATCTTTACCCCCATCAGCATGAGTGTTCCTCTGTCTCATTACTGGCCAGTTCCCTCCCATCCATGAGGCAGGGGTGAGGGAGAGCCATTAAGGGGCCATGCACCACGGTGGGAGAAGCAGGGCTTCATGGAAGGGACAGAGTCAGCGGGATACTCTCCCCCAGCTGTACCCTCCCCACACCACTGCCCATCCACCCAGAGGGCTGCACGGTCTCCTCTCTGCCCACCCAATGCCCATGAAAGATTTTGGCCTTAGCTGGGAAGACCTTTTCTTGGAGATAGGGATGGACACTGGCCACCCACCATCTGTGGAGCCTTGTCTGATAACCTGGTTCTTCTGGTACAGAAGGGAGTTGAGGATTATTCATATGTTCATTCAAACACGGCCAGGTGCTGGGAGGGGTCTATGATCCAAGAAGCAAGATCTTCCCTGTCCTCCAGGACAAACCACTGGGATAGACGCTCAGAGAGAAGGGGACTTCGATGGCAGTAAAGTAGAGGTCTGTGGGAGCTCCTCACCCTGGCTTGGGGAATCAGAGAAGTCTTCTTGGAGGAGGTGGGATGGGAGTGAACAGGAACTGTTCCATTGAAGGAGAACAGAAGTGCAAAAGTTTGCAGGCTTTTGTGGAATAGATCTGGAGAAGTGCACAGTGTTCTAGTTTAACATGGCTAGGGTAGAGAGTCTAAGGGGGATGAAAAAGACAAAGCACTACTCTTTCGATGGGTTACTAAATACTGAATGTGCCAGGTATCTCTCTGACTTGGGAGGACAGGGGGCCAGAACTCGAAGGCCTTCACAGGAGTTGGGACTTCTTCCCCGGGCAAATGGGAGCTTTTTTGGTTTGGTTTTGTTTTAATCCTCACCCAAGGATATGTAATTGATTCGAGACATAGAGAAACATAGATAGGAGAGAGAAACATTGATCGATTGCCTCCCGTATGCACCCGCACCAGGGACAGAAACCTCAACCTAGATATGTGCCATGATCAGGGATCAAAGCCACACCTTTTTTGGTGTATGGGACGACACTCCAACCAACTGAGCCACCAGGCCAGGGCGGAACCAGGAGCTTTAAAGGTCTCCAAGCTGGAGAGTGACGCAACCAGATTTGCATTTTAGAAAGATCATTCTCTGTTGCTTTGTGCATAATGGACTGGAAGGGCAAGAGTGCAAGCCAGGCCAGTTAGGAGGCTGTTGGCACCAGTTCAGGCAAGAGATGCTGATGGCGTGGCTTGGGGGTGGGGTGCAGAGGGCAAGACGGATGGATTTCAGAGACAGTTAGTTGCATGTACAACAATCAGGATTTGCTAGTAGGTTTGATGTAGCTGGTGAGGGTCTGAGGGAGTCAAGGATGATTACAGGTCTCCCTTCTTGCAGCTTGTGGGGAGGGCAAGTGGCACCCTATTCTGAGCTAGGGAACATAGCGGGAACAGTGACAACACCCCCAGTGCCCACCCTCCCTGCCCCCGCCAGCTGGCTGTTCACAGGTCTCCTGGCACCTCACTGCACCCTGACTTCACCCTGACCGGAGCCCTTCCATTCTCCTGTTTGATGCTTGTGCAGCTGGGAGCCCCTGGTCCAACAGTAATTGAATGTTTGCCTCTCCCCTCCCCAGACCTGAAGCCCTGGATCTCTAACTTCACCTATCCTGGAGTCCGAGATTTCTCCCAACTTGCTCTGGATGCTTCCAGGAACCAGCTCATCGTGGGAGCCAGGTAATGAAGGGCAGGAAGGTTGGCGGTAGGAGTGCGGGTGCTCAGAAGTGGGAGGGAATATTAGTATTTGGGATGAGCCTACTGTGGGCATTCCCATGTCCTGGGCCCCTGATCCTCTCTGCCAGACCCTCGCTCTCCACGTCTGAACATCTGCCTCCCACAGAAGGAAGCATTTGGTGTTGGGGGTGAAGAAGTGACCTCTAGACCTCCAGATCCCAGCAATCCGCATACCTTGGTGGCTGGCAGTTATTGGGAGCAGGAATGCCTGTCTGCAGGCCACCTCCTGCGTCCCTGCCGTGCTGCCCAGACCAGCCTAGCTGGCATCCTCCCTGGGAGCTCCAGGCAGAGAAGGTGCCCCGGAGCCCCCTGCTGGCCAGCTCGCCACCTGCACCTGGGATCTCAGACACAGGCCTTGTGCTTCTTTTATGCAAGACCCTGCTTCCCTGTCATCTCACCTACTTTTGTCCCACTGCCCAGGTCTGGTATCCAAAGGATAATGCATCTAGGGAGGACTTGTGGAGACTTTACGGTGTGGAGTAGGAGGAAATAAGTCTCACAAAATCATAGACCATCACCTCTGATAGGAATGGGAGCTTGGAGGTGGTCAGTTCCAGTGGGTCTCAAAGACTGGACCGGCCACACCAACACATATCGGGACTTGTTAGAAATGCAAGTCTTTGAGCTGTACCCCAGGGCTGCTGAATCAGAAACTCTGGGGGCAGGCCCAGCAACCTGCATTTCAGCAGCCCCTCCAGGTGAGTCTACGGGTTTGAAAATCGCTGCTCTAATCCAACGGCCTTCAATTTAAACATGAAGAGGCAGAGAGAGGCTTGAAGAGGGGATGGTGACCTTCTCAAGATAACCTAACCAGACAACAGTTATGGGGACTAGAACCCAGGTCTCCCGAGCCCGAGGGTAGTCTGTCTCCCAGTCCACGTTATCACCTGCTACTGCAGTGGTGCTTTTCAGGTGCTCTCCACCCCAGAGGTTCTGATACTGCTGGTCTGGGGTGGGGGGTAGTGACCACTAGGTTGGGCACCTTTAGGGTCAGCTAGGTAGCTGACCATCCTTGGCCTCTGGGCCTTCATGAGTGTCCCCACCCCTCATCGTCACATGAAAAGGAGGCTAGCCAAGGACACAGCTCTGGACTGGGACCAGGTGAGCTTCATTCTTGGCCCGGGCAATCTTCACCTTTGAACCTCAGGTCTGGGCCACAGTCTCTGCGCGGCCAGCCTCACAGGACCGTGGTGAAGCAGGGCTGAAAGCATTTTATTTTTAGTTTCTATTTTTAAATTAACTGATTAGATCACATCAGTGATACATGGTCTGGTATAACATTCAGAACGTACAAAATGCAGCAGTGTACAGGGACAGGCGGGGCCCTCCCTTGGCGCCACGCCCTGTGGTGAGTTTGTGTGTCCTCCCAGAGGTAGCCTGTACTTACGCAAGTCTACAGGAATAGGAACTTAATTCTCCCCGCTAAGAGAATAATTGTTTTCCTTCTTATTTTGAGATTATCATAGGTTTACATGCAGCTGTAAGAAATAACAGAGATCCAACCCATGTACCTTCCACCCAGTTTCCCTTAAGAGTAACGTCGTGCACAACAATAGTAAACATTACAATCACAAAACTGACATCAATAAGATGTTCCTACCTTATTCAGACTCCACCCGTTTTGCGTATGTACTTTAAAAATCCTGAGGTCTGGCTCTGAACCTGGTGGAAGCATTTTAAAAGCTGCCATTCATTCTATGCCTGTCATGTGCCAAGCACCATTTTATGTGCCATGTATGTAGTGAAGCATCTACAACATGTGGTCAGTCATGCAATAAATCATTTTATCTTCACAATAATCCCAGGAACTGTGTTAGCCCCATTGTATGGACCAGGAACCTGATGCTCAGAAGGATAGGTCCCCTGCCTGGGGTCACACTGGCTCTTCCTGAGCCAACCTGGGGCTTCCCGCCCCTGCCCCCCGACGGTGGACACAACCTTTGCCTGGGCCCTTGAACCTGGCTGTGCTCTCAGGGAACAGGGGGAAAGTCCCTGGACTTGACCCTTTGTGCCTCTTGGAGCAAATGAGGTGGATCCTTGGCTTCTTCCTTCTCCCCTTTTCTCTAGGTCACTTTTCTTCCTTCTCTTCTGCCTGTCAGATTTCCTCCTTTTTTCTCATCCCCGGGCCTCTGGAATTCAGGCTAAGGACATTTTTTGTTCATTTACACCCCCGCCTTGTTTCATAAGGGATTTAGGGTGGGTCAGGCTATAGAGATTTTTCTCTGTTCTCATCTCCCAGAAGAGCAGACTGTGATGTTGTGATGAATGATTTTTGATGGGATAAAAATGAATAAAAAAAGTGATGCAATGTTTCCCCTAATTCTTTAAAGCTGTGACCAGATGCCTGTGTTACCTGAGCAGACAGCTGGGGCAGAGCCATAAGCTGGAGCCCATCTGTCCCCAGGCCAGTAGGGTGGGGGTGGGGAAGCTCTTCCAGGCCGGGGACTCAGGAGGGACAGCAGAAGCCTGGAGCCAAGGTCACCTGGTGAGGCCTGCCACGACGTAGAAGCCGAGTGGGGCCTGGGCTAGGAGCCGAAGCTGGAGAAGAGGAGTCTCCAGCCTGAGGTGTCCCCTTCAGGGCCCTGGATTCATTTGGCAGGGCCCCTCTTCATTCTGGCTCACTCTGCAACCTTTCCCCTCATTTCTCTCCTCGGCTTAGCTGAGGTAGGCCAGAACTTTCTAAAGCAATCACTTCTAAAAACCTCAGGAATGAAAAGAGGAATGACCAAAGGAAAATGTAAGAAGGAAAGAAAACTCTTAGGGAAAACCAAAATTTTACATCTGCCTGGTGTTAATGGAACATTTTAACATGCATTGTACCATCCCCCTCTCCCCACTGCACTGTGAAAGAGGAAAGACAGGCAAGACAGGCATATCCATTTTACAGATGCAGACACTGAGGTGCCCAGAAGGTCCCTAGCAAGTGGCTCAGGTGGAATTCTCTCTGTCTCTGCTGCCAGGTCTACTCTGTGAACCTCAATGACTTTCATGTGACACTGTGACCGGTGGTTCTGGCCCCCTTGCGTCCACGCACAAGTGGCCTTGTGGCTCCAGAGTCTGGGCAAAGCAATTTCAGCAGTGCCTGACACTGTGAGTGTTCAATAGGTAGCTGACGGTAGTAGCAGTAGCAGGTCTATGGAGGTGGCAATGGGGAAGTAGTTGTATGTCATCATTGTTATTATTTAAAGGTTTGCTTTAAATTAAGATTATTTTTTAGAGCAGTTTTAGGTTCACAGCTAAATTACTGGGAAGGCACAGAGAATTCCCATATACCCCTTGCCCACACATGAAATCTCTCCCATTGGAGTGGCACATTTGCTACAATCGATGAACCTACATCAACACATCATTACCATCCAAAGTCTATGGGTTATGTTATGGCTCACCTTGGTGATATACACCCTATGGATTTGGACGAATGTATAATGACATGTATCCATTATTAGGGTACCATACAGAGTGTTTTCACTGCCCTGAAAACCGTCTGTGCTCTGCCTATTCATCCATTCCCTCCCCACATCCAACCCTTGGCAACCACTGGCCCTTTTGCTCTTTCATAGTTTTGCCTTTTCCAGAATGTCATATAATTGGAATCATACACTCTTTTCAGATTGAATTCTTCCACTTAGTAATATGCATTTGAGGTCCCTCTATGCCTTTTTATGGCTGTATAGCTCATTTCTTTTTAGCACTCAATAATATTCCATTGTCTGGATGGACCACAGATTACTTATCTATTCACCTACTGAAGGACATCTTGGCTGCTTCCAAGTTTTGGCAATTACGAATAAAGCTGCAGATGTTTGTGTGGATACAAGTTTCCTTAAGTTTTTTTTTTTTTTTAATTGATTTGAGAGAGAGAGAGAGAAACATTGATTTGTTGTTCCACTTATTCATGCTTTCATTGGTTGATTCCTGTACGTGTCCTGACTGGGACTGAACCCACAACCTTGGCAAATCAGAACGATTCTCTAACCAACTGAGCTGCCTGGCCAGGGCCTGAACAGCAGGCTGACGTGATGGAGATGGTGTTTGAGGAATCTGAGCCTGGTATCCCTGTGCTGGCTAGCTAGGGGGAAGAGGAACTGGGACGAGGCAGAGGGGACAATGTGGGCAAGAGGAGACAGGGTGGTCCAGGGAGGTGGCCACGGAAGAGTCAGATCCAGAGTCACTGACTGCAGAAAGGACTGCAGGGCATGAGGAAGCAGACGGGACTCCAGGGGCCCATGGCACGGAGCCAGGAAAGATGGCTGGCCTGTCTGAGGAGGGGAGTGGGTCAGGGAGGTGGGTGAGGGAAGGAGGAAGATGGCCTGCCCGGGTCCCTTCAAGAGCTCCAGTGGGCTTCAAGTTTAACAGAAACAGGCCCCACGGTTGGGAGAGTGGTGATGGTTCCTCCCTGGACCTGCAGGATGGCCAGAAGCCTGGGCTTTGGGAGTAGACAAGTCTGAGTTTTAACTCCTCCACTTATGATCTCTGGGTTTTAAATTCTCTGTGGCCCATTTACGCAACCTGTTTCTTCATCTGTGAAACGGAGTATTTTCTCTCTACTCCTGGGGCTGCTGCGGAGATTTAATGAGCTAAGTGAAGGAAAGCTGTCCTTGGGGGTCAGCTTACCAAAGACCCTCTGCAATTGGCACCCAGTCCCGGCGCCCCAGGAGGCAGGACCAGCTGCTTCCTGGGGACTTGCCTGCAGATCCGGCTGGACTTATGATTTCCATTTCTGTTTTCACAGGAACTACCTCTTCAGACTCAGCCTTGCCAATGTCTCCCTCCTTCAGGTACACTTGCTTCCCTTCCCTTCCCTGTAATTTCCCTGGTATTGGGGAGCCCAGCTGGGGCAGCACAAGGAGCAGGGCTTGAAATTGAACCCCTAGGGTTGGAAACAGGAGGCCCAGGCTCTTCTCACTGGCCACGGACTCTCACTTGCTCTTGAGGTCACTGCTGGGAGGATATTTGGACGTGAGGGTGAAGCCACATAAACATGGAGACACACAGGATTCTCTTCCTACATTGTGCAAAGGAGCTGCCCAGGAGGGGAGGAAAAGAGCACCAGAGCTAGGGCGACCGACTGCCCTGCTTGCCTGGGACTGCAGAGCCTCAGGACGCAGGACTTCCGTGCTTAAGCCAGGATAGTACTGGGAAAACCGGAATGGCTGGTCACTCTAAGTCCAGCGCCTAAATCCAACAAGAGGGTCTCTGAGTTTGGGTCTCAAGGGACAGGGTGTCCCTGGTTCCTTTCTTAGCCTGGCCTGAGTAACCCCCTTCTCACTCAGCATTTTCACTAAGCTATAATTTATTTATTATCTGCTGCCAAGAAGGACTCCCCAAGCCTAATTCCCTAAGTGCTCTGGGTGGCACTTTAATGCAACTTCTTGATCCAGAATCTTCATCTCAGATTGAGAAACAGTTGCCACACCATCTCTGCAGAGGCTGAACATTCTAGAGAAAGGAAGGCCATCTCTTCTTCAGTGAGTGGGGAGCCTCAGTCCTCATGTCTGGGAGGCTTGCTGGTCTCCCAGCCATCAGGCATTCATTGAGCACCTACTGTGTATCCGAACTGAGCTGGAGTAGAGGGCCAGTAAAACAAGCAGAGTCTGTGTGACCCGCAGGTCTCACACTATAGCCAGCAAAAGATGATGAGGGATATGTATAACTACCTAGAGAGCAGTACAAGAGTTAGTCAGATGCTGGGCTGTTTTGTGCAGTTTCACCACAAGGCCAGCCGGGGAAGGTGAGATGTCCTTGGTGAGGTGGTGTGACATTCTGGTCTGGTTTCTTTTAGCTTCACCTGGGTATGCATCTCAGAGGCCATCGCAGCTGGTTTCCAGAGGGGAGGTTTAAGGGAGCAGGAAAGGATGCCCTTTAGAAGAAACTAGAACAATTTGAAAAGAAATGCCATTCATCCATTTATTGGTCTGTCTACCCTTCTGTACATACCTGCCAACAAGCCTCTCCATCCATCTAACCACCCCCCAATAAACTTGACTGAATACCTGCCAAAGCCCAGGTCCAGTCCTAGGCATGAGACCAGGGACTTAAGATCCAAAGGTGGCTCAGGCTCCATCCCTTGCCTCAAGGAACAAGCATGTGGGAGACCAGAAATGCTCCCCTTTCCTGGATGGGACCCGTGTGGCATGTTCCTGGAGCCTGGGCTGGAACAAGGCAGAGGAGGTCCCCAGAGGCAGCACCCCGTGGCCTGCCAGCTCAGTCACAAGCAGCCCATCCAGAGCCTGGTTTTTCTCTTGGCGTCCATGGAAAATGAAGTCAAGATGTCAGACCTAGCAGGTCAGGGTCTGGGAAAATCTGGTGCAGAGGCCGTTCACAGTGGGCGGGAGCAAGTGGGTCCAGAGGTGCCGCCCTGCGCTCAGGCAGTGGCTTTTTTATTAGGTTCCCATGATCTGCAAATGAAGTTCTTCTGGCAGGAGTAAGTGGCCAGGCAGCTGAGGAGGAGACACAGACATATGTGGAGCATATGAGTGGAGGGGTCTGGTGTGGCAGGATCACAGAGTGTGCATGGGGTGAGAACGGGAGACAAGGCCCTGGGAGAGAGAGAGGCCACGTTGCAGAGGGTCTTCATTGCTGGCAGAGAGACTCTTTAAAGCGTTTTAAGCACAGAAGGAGCATGAATAGATTTAGTGTTTTGATCACCTGGCCGAGTGCAGAAATGGATTAGTGGGGGAGCCAGTCAGGAGACAACTACAATGGTCCAGTGAGCCACGGGGAGTTGAACTAAGGCAGCAGAGTGGGGATGGAGAGGAAAAAGAGGAAGAGATCTTCAGATGGCAGAATCGCATAAGGTCACAGCACCAGACAGCACCGGGGAGCACCAGGCACATTGTCTTCGGCATGAAGGTGACCCCTGGGGTGGGGGAAGCTGGCAGCCCTGGAGAGCTTAGGAAGGCTTGGCCCACAGTGGTGCCATCCAGGTCTCTGACTTGCACAGCAGAGCAGCACAGGCGAGGATGGAATCAGAGCTGGCCTGACTCTGGGAGGAATGCTTTTCCCACAGCTCCCCAGTGGGATCGCCAGAGGAACTTTAAAACCACTGATGCCTGAGTCCCACTCTCAGAGATTCTGACTTAATTGATCTAGGGTCCAGCCAGGCCCTGGGATTTTTTAAAGCTCCCTGATGATTCCACTGGGCAGCCAAAATTAGGATTCGCTGTTGTAGGATGTCAAGAAGACCTTTTCTGTAGATGCTTCCCGCCTGGTTTGGCTTCCCCAGGTGCCCTTGACAGCTGGTCCTCATTTCTGGGTCTGCACCTTACCAGATGTTAGGACTGACTCTCGGGCTTGATGACGAGGCCTGGCACTGGGTTCCTCCTACTCCACGCTGATCTCAGCCGTGAGAAGATACCTTAGGCGAGCCCCCTAACCTGTGCTTGAGACAGGGGCTCAGCTTCACGGAGTTCTCTGAAGGACTTCAGACCAGCCACAACTACACCAGGAATCAGTTTTACCACATTTTCATGTTGACTCTTAGGGGCTTGACCTCCAGAGTTCAGACTAAATTCTTTGAGTTGAAACTAAGGAGAGAAAAAATTACATCGCTTGTTCCTGCCCCCACTGTCGGGAGCTGGGCAGAGAGAATGAGAGGGAGGTTGGAGGGGACTGTCCAGCATTCCCTCGGACGGGCTTGTGGCAGACCTCAGCCTCTGGTCATCAGGCCTGGCGGGAAAGTCCTGACTTTTGATCATAAAAGCCTGACTTCAGTGTGCACCCTTCCATTGCCCTCTCTGAGGTTTCCAGTCCCTGCTTATAAACTTTCAGTCCTCAACATCTGTGTGTCACAAGTGGCTCACGGCAAACAGTGCTAAAAGAGAGCTGACCACTTTGCTGTCAGGAGGAGGAAAAGCCCTGCCCCCAACCCTGCCCAGCTTTCTCTACTCTCCATGCTGCCTGAGGGCACGTTGGCTATAAAGTAGCCTACAGCCTGCTGATCCTCCCCTGTGGCCCCAAGGTACGATTTAACCAAACTTAAAACTCAGTGCTTTATTTATAGTTTAAATAATTAACATCCCATAAAGGAAAATCTATTTGCAAACATTTCATGCAAACCAGTGTCCATTAAAGGACTTCTGAGTACCTAATCCTTATTAAACGATTTATGTAAACTACTGTTCCTTAATAAAAATCAAAATACCCAGTCTCCTTCTCGATTCTCCAAGAACTGAATGGAGGGGGGGTGTGGGAGGGACAGAGTGTGTACACACGCGCGGAGGAGGACTCGAAATCAATCAGCTCACCTGTGATGGTTATTTATCAGTGTAACTTAAGAAACTGGTTTTGGAGATGAAATGGTGGCAAATGGTCATCAGTGTCAGGGGCTGCCTTATGATGAGCTAAGTTGGATTTGGCAGTTGGGAGCTGATGACCAACCAGAGGATGATGTGGCCGGAGGTCTTATTGCAATGGATTCCTGATCATGGGCTGCCAGATGTCCTGCGAGTGCAGAAATGGGGATGGACATGCACATACACATCAGAATGCATCTGGGGCTTTGTCAGGGCCTGCGCAGGCAGTGAGGCTGATTCTGAGTTCTCTGCTGCTTATTTCTACATTCTCCAAGTTAGTCTGACAGCTCTAGAGTTGTTTGAAATACAAAGCTTTTATGCTGAGCGGTGGACTTAACGCTCAGAAGATGTTTCAATGTTCAAACATTGCTCCTGGTGTCCAGGGGGGTTGCTGAGTCTCCCACGAGATGATTCAGTTCCTGGCTGCCTCACCTACTTTCTCCCATGGCTGAAAACCATGCAGTTATCACCCTGGAGTAAAGCGTTGTGTGTGGCAGGTTGATCGCACATGTCTATCTTCACTCCTTCACAAAACCCCACTAAAGGAGAGTGAAAAAACTTAAAAGGGACAGATGCACAATGACAGAACAAAAGAGACATCAGCAGACAATAGATTAAACATTCCGGGGAGCTGAAGAGTGGATGGAGAAATCATAACTGATTTAGCAGAGCAGAACAATTTATGGAAGGGATATGGCAGAGAAGCAAACCGTTGCCTGGGGAGGCTCAGAAAAGGGGGTATAAGATATAGTGTAGTGAGGATGAGGTACAAGCCTAAAAGGGGCAATTAGTTGAAATTCTCTAAATTGAAAGGTTGGAACCCAGATCTCCTGTCCCATCCCACTCAACTACCCCTTCCTCCATTTCACCCCTCCCCTAACAAGGAGAGAGTAAGACTCTTTCTCTAAAGACCCAAAGAGTGAGACTCCGAATTTAGAGACTCAAGGGAAGGTGAGGACACAGACGGGGTTTGAGGCTAGGACAGTGTTTCTCTTCTTTCTCTCGTTGTGCAGTATATTTATTGAATAAGTCTGGTCATGAGTCCTATAGACAGTTTCCCACAGTCTAGCTTTTGCTGACTGCAATCCGAGTGATATAACTTAACATGTTCCCGTATTCTCTGTATCATCTGTAAATTGATTGTTAGATCTAAAGATTTTATTCCATTTAGATTCCAGCAATATTACTTTATAGATGTTATTGAATACTTATTTTTTAGAATGGTATCTGATTTTCTCTGGGTTTTTGTTATGTTAGCAACTATTCATGGTTGTTTACTGGATCCATGAATTCTTTAGGTGTTATAATGTATTAGCTGGACTACTTCTGCAAAGAGAAACTTCTCTTCACCTACTATTTGGTCATCCAATCATATAGTCATATAGGAAAAGTAAATGTTTGTTACTTTGTCTTTATTTATTGGTTTTCAAATAATCAGCTCATTTGTTAATATCTTTCAGTGGTGATCAATTAAATTTTTTTTG